CTTTTACCAAACATTGACTCTTATCCCTCCATGCTAGTATGTCTTTGTTTTTGACATAGAGATGTCAAATTGTGTAATTGTTCACATTGCATTGTGTGTTTCTTCACCCTAGAGTGTTGACGTTCTCCAAATTGTCACTTCTTGTACTTTCCTACTCTTATAAATGACACTGTGACCTCTTCTTCCTTTCATCCTTCCATCTGGAACTCTGAAGCCCCCATCCTTGCTCATTTTGACACATTTCCTATTTGTATAAGAGCCTGAAATATCTATCTACTATATTTGAAAAGTAAAATGTTTCTAGTAACATCAAAGTCTTCACTATGGAATCCTCCCAGAAATATAGCACATACTCAATATTTAATTTTTGAAAGCATTTGTGAATGTGTGAAGAAGGTATTGGCCTTTTCCCCACTTTGTGGATGAGGAAAATTATTACTTGAGATATTACCCCAAATGATAATTTTGGATTTAGATGTCAAGCCAAAAAGCCTGACAATAGAAGTCATGTTTTTCCTTATCACATTACATTTTTTTGTATCATAAAGTTAACTTCAAATCCCCAGTGTTATTATAAAAGAAGACATAAAGTATTCATAATTAAATGGAAATTATTGATAAAGCATACTCAAATAAAATACCATGAATCGATATGACTATAAGATTGTCAAGTTGTTAAAGATAGGTCACTCTAATATACATAGCTACTGTCAGCTTCATTATTATCTTCCTCAATGTTAGAGTTATTAAACCACAACCACATGTGCTCCCAGCATAGAGATGGAGCACACACATTGATAAGACGGATATTCCCATTGCAAGAGGGACAACACAGTAAAAATAGAATAGCACTTAGCCTGAAGCAATCCAAATTTATGTTGACTAATACCATCAGATTGTAACACTGGTGAAAATTTCACCTAGTCTTTATAGTGAGGGTCAGCATTGTTTGACATATTCATCTTTTCTAGCTGTGAATGGAAATGATTTCTGTGGTTATCATTCTGAATATATCTTTGGTCCCATACATGAAACATTTTATTTACAGTTGAGGTCTAAGACACAGTGAGTCTTACAAAGCCTCATTGTAATATATCTACCATTTTTTTTTACCATAGAAAGTATTGGGCATGGCAGTCTACATTCTTTAAGTTCTCTTCCAGAACAAATCATTTTTTCCAGAATTCTTGAAGCCCATATGATCACCATCTAAAATTCCCCCAAAAGGTCTTTGAGAAACTATGATTTGATATGCAATGAATTATGGAACATTCCCAACTCTTTCTTAGCGTCTTCTTGAAACAACAAACCCTCCAAATATTCTGACATATTTTGAAATTAGAAAATTTCCTCACCTTTTCTCATGAAGACAAAACCTTCATTTACCACATCTTCATTGAGGAGACTAAAATTGGACATTTTGTTTTCTTTCATGACATGGAAAGAGCTGTACTTGAGGACCATATCCAGCTCCTCTGGATCTAATTTCTTTCCTAGGAAGTCACAGATCTTCTCTATTGATCTCCTTGGGTCCTAAATGAAGAAGAAACAAAAATGTAGGTAGAAAAGGAAACATCTGAGCGAACACATGCAGAGATATGGACTATGGATGGATGATAAAAAAGGGGACATGAAAAGAGTAATGGCACCATAAAACAAGAAAGCATTCATTGGGAACCCATAGGTAAAGCTGGGTATGGAAGCAGGTAGGCTAAATGCAGGTCTTTACCTCTCAATTTGCTCGCCCAATTCCAGTCTTCTAGTCTCATTGACAGTTCTGTGTAGAATATGCAGCAGTTTCCCTCCTCCATATTTGTCTGTCTAAAATGGTTCACATAGATTGTAACCTCCAAAGTTCCCTTTCTCTACCCATTGCTTTGTCCTAGACCTGAGTTCCAGAAGGCACTTTCTGAGAACACACAGGCCAGTCTAACTAGGAAATCAGGTAGGCTTACTGCAGATCTCAGCTCTCCCTCCATTCTTACAAGTCCAATGGTCAATGTCATCAGTAGTTTTATATCAAAACTCCTGCTATAGCCTGTCCTCAGCCGAGATTAGTGCTTATTCAGCCATCATCAGAGAAGCTTTCTTCCAAAGCAGTTGGGAATAAATATAGAGACCCACAGACACATAGTACACAGTGAAATACTTTTGAATAATCAGTCCTCAATGATGTGTGTTCAACAAATCCCTCCCTTTAGAGCACAGACAACTGTTTAGATAAAACGAAATAGTATAAGAACGAGAGTAGAGTTCCACATTCACCTACCCCATATCTGACAGAGGGCTGATATCCAAAATATACAATGTACTCATGAAGCTAGCCACCACAACACCAAACAATGAAATTAAAAATTGGTGTTCAGAACTAAATAGAGTATTCTAAATAGAAAATCTGAAATGGCTGAAAGACACTTAAGAAAGTGCTCCAAATCCTTGACCATCAGAGAAATGCAACTCAAAACAACTCTGACATACCACCTCACACCTGTCAGAATGGCTAAAATAAAAAATATCAATGACAACCTATGCTGGAGAGGATGCGGAGAAAAAAGAACACTCCTGCGAACTTGTAAGACTACTTTGGAAATTAGATCGTGGTTACTCAGAAAAATGGGAATCAGTCTACCTCAAGACCCAGCAATTCCTCTCTTGGGCATATACCCAAATACTGCACATTCACACAACAAGGACATATGTTCAACCATGTTCATAGCAGCATTGTTTGTAATAGCCAGAACCTGGAAGCAACCTAGATGCCCTTCAACTCAAGAATGGATAGAGAAAATGTGGTACATTTAAACAATGGAGTACTACTCAGCAATAAATAAATAAATAAATAAATAAATAAATAAATAAAAAAGCAAC